CTTATTCTACTGAGCTATCTCCCTGGTCCCTATAACTTCTTCTTCTTGGAGGAAACATCAGTGAGGTGTTTGGGGATTTTCACTTTGCTGATACCAATTTTTGCAGAGGTGGCAATGACAAACTTCCAGTGTGTTCTTTGTAGAGGAAGATGATTAAGGCTCAGAGGCCCAGTCGCAAGCAGCAAGCCACCGCCCAGCTGCTTCAGGAAGGCCACTCTCTTGCCTCTGTGACACTCAGTGAGGATGATCAAGATGGTGCCGGGAGTGATATTAACTCAAAGTTTCCTCACATTCTGACTAACGGGTTTCTTGCCTGGCTCAAGAGCTTTTGGGGCACATCGTCAGTAGGGTAGTATGTAGGCATTTTTCGAAGCTTAACCACCCGGCTATCTCCATTCTTGTCCCCACTGACTGGTTTTGTGATCACAGCAAGAGCTTTCTCCTTCTTTTTCTTCTCGACCTTTGATTTAGCACCTATATACTTTCCCTTGTACAAAGCCTTTCTGGAATGCATAGCAGATTGGGAGAATCTACCAATTCCTCTAACCAGGTCAGGATTTTGGCTGCAGTGGGGCTGCCCCTTCTTGGACTTTTTTTTGCCTTCACCTTACCATTTTTACCAGTACCACTGGCAGAGGCCTTCTTGGCTTCGGGTTTCTTCCCTTTAGTGTCGGGCTTCTCAGTTTTTTCACCCGCCATCTTCCAAGATGGGAAAGAGAACTAAGTTTTCCTTTTTTTTTTTTTTTTTTAAAAATTAGCTGAGGGCTGGTGAGATGGCTCAGTGGTCTAAAGCACCTACTTAGAACAAGCTTAGCAAAGCACAGGGACCCCGGTTCAATCCCCCAGCACCACATGCCAGCCAGCCCCGCCCCCTGTTGGGCTGAGCTGGCCACACACACACACAAATAAATAAATTAAATTAAATTAAATTAAATTAAATTAAAAAAAGAAAGAAATTAGCTGAGAGGCCTGGGGAGATAGCTCAGTAGAATAAGCACTTGCCTGGCAAGCACAAGGACCTGAGTTCAATCCCTGGTTCTGCAAAAAAAAAAAAGAAAAAAGAAAGAAAAAGAAAAAGAAAAAGAAATACATAAATAAATTAGCAGATGACTGAGGCTAGCACCAGTATTCCCAGCTGCTCAGGAGGCTGAGGCTGGAGTATTACTTGAGTCTGGGAGTTCCAGACCACCACGGTGAGACCCCATTTCCTATAGTATCCAGCTGGGGGGGCGCAGCAGATGGGAGGCAAGGACATCGTGAGTTTGAGGCCACCTTGGGCTACACAGCAAGTTCAAAGCCAGCCTAGGCTATAGAGCAAGATGCTGCTTCAGAAAACCGAACAAACAAACAAGTAACCAAGGGCTCGGGAAGTGGCTCAGTGGCAGAGTGTTTGCCTGGCATCCACGGAGCCCTGTGCTCAGTGCCTAGTACTACCAAACACATGTACACAAGAAAAACAAACAGCCCCCCAGAAATGGATAAGAAATTACAAATTTGAACCCTGCAAGTCGACAGTAAGGAATTTTTGAGGTTAATAACCGAGTGTGTTGGCGATTAGGTTCAAGTCATTGGCCTTTGTTTTTGGTTTTTATTGTCTTTCGCTCCTAAAGATGCACACTGAAGGGCCGGCCATATAGCTCAACAGGCCAAATCACATGCAGGTGTGGGGACCAGGGTTCAATCCTGGTGTGCCATGCTGGCCCCACCCCCAGGGCGTTTGAGACTGGGCATGGTGGCACACGCCTGTAATCCCAACCCTTGGGAGGCTGAAAACAGGAGGATCACTAGGAGTCCGAGTCGATCTGTGTAGTGAAACCCTGTAGACCCTGTACTAAATACATTTTTAAAAAGAAGATGCACACTGAAACATACAGAGGCAATTAAGTGGGAGGGGGAAATCTGGAAGGGAATGAATGAAGCTAGATTGGTCCTTAGTTGATAATTGTTGAAGCTACTTAGTGGATTCGCAGAGGCTCATTATCATACAATTCTTGTTTCTTTGAAACAGGATCTTGATACATTGTTTAGGCTGGCCTCAAATTTGGTTAATCTTCCTGCTTCAGCCTCCTGAGTGCTGGGATTACAGTTGTGCGCCACCATGACTGGTCTGAAAAATTTTCTAAAATAACAAGTTGAAGGACCCCAGGCCCCCCGCCCTACCTCACCTCTGGGCCCCACTCCATCTGTTCAGCAGTAGGTTGCAATCTGTCAGCTGTCATCACCTTGGGCCTTGGGCTCCAGCCAGTCCTGGGGACTGTCCTTGGGTCTTTTGGGGGGAGGATCAGAGGGGAAGTGGCTGCAGGTCTTTTGCTAAGGGAGGCTGGTCTCCATGCACCTGTGACAGCGAAGGGTGTGAGGAGGTGACTCCAGAAATAGCAGGGAAGACAGCAGGGGGCGACGTGGAGTCACATGGAGAGCAGGGGCTGGCAGGCGGCTGAGGCTCCCACTCCGCCATCCCGTCCTCTGGCCCCTTTGCTCTGCCTCCAGAGCCTCTCTCCCTTTATCTCAGAGAAAGCAGAAAGATACAAGGTGATTGGGGACAAACACCTGTCTGGGAGCTGGAGTAGATGCTGACTGTGGCATTCGGTGGCTCTCCAGGGACAGGTGGGGTGGTCAGGTGGAGAGAAAGGAACAAACACAAGGACACTTTCCAGCCAGCCACCCCAGCTGCAGGGCTGCACCCTGAGTTCTCAGACCTGACCCTGGCAGGTCTTAGACGTCCTTGCCACCAAGGACTGTGGGATGCTGGCATCTGGGAGGGCCCCCTTTTGCCTGTCCTGAGGAGGAGGCCTGGGAGTGAGGCTACCCAACCCTTTCACACTCAGACCCAGGTCCTATGGCCGATGCAGGGAGACAGAGCAGGCAGTGAGCGGCCCCCTGTGGTTGCCGTTGGTGGAGTCAGGCCTGGAACTACATGCCTTACCAGTGTCCAGCTCATCCACAGCCTGACTTCTGGGCCTCCATGTCCCTGAGGCTCAAGGTTACTGTCTCTACAATGGGATCAGGGCGGAGCTCCTGCAGCACTGTGGATATGGAACAGAGGTGGATACTCAACTACACTCGAGCCCTTGGGCCCTGGGGTGACCAGCCAGCTGTCTTTACCCTTGAGTGTGCAGGCCCCCCCTATGGGCAGAGCATGGGCATCTCTGTATCTCTGTGTCGAGTACCTGAAGGGGCTCCAAAAACAGGGGCTGTGATCGCCACCCCTGAAATGCTTCTCACTGATGGTGGGAGGTGCGGTAGCTCACACAGCAGGGAACTGTGGGGACCAAGGTAGGAGGAGAGGGCAAGCACCTCACTTAAAGCCACGTGGCCAGGGAGCAGTGAGCAGGGCCACGTGCCCAAGTCTCCAGGCCTATGCAGCGAGCCCCGCACCCTGGAGCCACAGGGGACCCTCCTACACGCCCCACCTGTCTCTTCCAAGATTTATGCTCTGGAGAAGCTCCGCCAGGCTGAGGCCAGGACAGCTCACACCCCGCTTGCTGTGAAGGCAGCTGTCACCCAGCTCTCTACACCTACGGGTTGCTGGGCCCTGTGCCAGGCCCAGGGATAGAAGGGTAATGGGCTTCTAGTCTCTGAAGAGCTTGGTCACCTGTACACCCACAGGGCTGGTTTGTCGGGCGCATGTGCGCCTTGGGGACCTTATGAGCGGGTCCTGGACAGGATGGCTCAGGACAAGAAGCCTAAAAGCTATCAATTAAGGGTGATCTAGGAGTGCAAGGAAAATGAAAACCACTCCTTTGAGTTTTTTTGTTTTTGTTTTTTCCAATACCAGGGATTGAATTCAGGACCTTGAGCTTACCAAGCAAGCATTCATTTAACTGAGCTCTCTCCAGCCCCAGGGTTTTTTACCCTTTTGGGAAGGGTTTTACTATGCAGGAGGCTGGCTTTGAACTCACTTTATAGCCCAGGCTGGCCTTGAACTTGCAGTGATCCTTCTGCCTTATAGAATATGTTTTATTGTTTGGTTTTTTTGAAACAAGATTTCTCCACGTAGCCAGGTTGGCCTCAGACTTACAGTGGCTGATCCTCCTATCTCAGCCTCCCAAGTGCTGGGACAATGGGCATGGGCCACCCTTCCCCTCCTGACTCAGGCTTTAAGGGAGGACCCAGGTAGCTGGGTAGGTGATTTACTGGCAAGGATGACTGCAGAGACAGAGCTGTGCAAGGCCCTGGTGCACCCTAGAAGGAATGGGCCGGGAGGGGGAGGTTCCCTCCCTCCCTCCCTCCCTCCCTCCTTCCCCCGCCACTGTCTCTGTCACTCACAGGGGTTGGGCCGGGCTAGGACAGCCATGGCAGCAGTGTTCGACTGGATTGCTCTCCTTGTGGGCAAGTTGGGGCCCTGCTGGGGAGGGGCAGCTGGGGTGGGGACTAGGATTCAGGAGGTAGGAGCTGGAAAAACAGGAGTCTTCCGGGAGAGGCCTGGGGGGTGAGACGGGCCTGTGGTCTGGGGCCATGGGCTGGAATCCCCAGGCAGGCTGGGGTGCAGGGCTGTGGGCTCCAAAGACTAGAGGTATCCTAGGCCTGGGGTGAACAGTACAGCATGGGCCCTGAGGGTTGTGGGCCCTTTAATGGGCCTGCTGCTTGCTGCTTTGCTCAGGCTGTGACTAAATTTGGCCCAACAGGGAGGGAGGGGTGGCGGGTAGGTCCGCTGGACCAGGCTCCCTAGGTCTCTAGCACAGTCCTGTGCTTCTGGGCATAGTAGGGAAGCCAGGTCAGAGTTCAGGCCCCACAGTGGCCACTCTTCCTCTGAGTGTCGCTCAGTCCCCTCCTCTCCAGCCTCCCAGATATTTAGCATGGGATGGGGTTTCTCACCAAGTTACCACACACACACACACACACACACACACACACACACACACACACACGCTCACACACATGCAGACACACCTCTCAAATGCCCCCCACACCCCACACCCTTACCAGTGAAATGAAATGTCAGCTCTATCCATTTGGAAGGGGGACTCCCACAAATCACAAATAAAAGGCACTATGACCTTGTCACCTATTTAAATGGTAGTCCATAGCCAGGCATGGTGGTGCATGCATGCCTTCCATCCTAGCACTCAGGAGGCTGAGGCAGGCAGAGCTCTAAGTGTTCAAGGCCAGCCTGAACTACAAAGCAAGACCCAGTCTCAAAAAAAAAAAAAAGAAAAGAAGGGGCTGGTGAGATGGCTCAGTGGTCTAAAGCACCTACGTAGAACATGCTTAGCAAAGCACAGGGACAACAGTTCAATCCCCCAGTGCCACATGCCAGCCAGCCCCGCCCCCTGGTGGGCTGAGCTGGCCACACACACACACACACACAAATAAAATAAAACACAAAACGGTTTATTTAAAAAAAAAAAAAGAAAGAAAGAAAGAAAAGAAAAGAAAAAGAAAAACAAAAGGCAGCACAGCGGGGGCTGCCCCAGCTCTTTTGCTTGGAGCCAGGGAAGGTGCCCTCCACTGTCAATCTTTAGGAGCTGGGGCAGAAGGCGCAGAGTTTGACCCCTGCCAGGTCTGAGGCTCCTGTGTTTGGGATTTGTGGGTCCCCACAGCTCTCTGGCTCACACTGGGGGACACACAGCTGCAGCAGGCCACGCTCCATCCGCTAGTGGGCCACATCTTTGTGCATACCTTGGACCATGAGACCTTCCTGCGCCCGCCTGAGGACACTGGTGAGAGGGCCGGGTGAGGGCAGCCCTCCAGGGTTCCAAGGTGCTCCTGTTCGCCTCCAATTCCATCTTTCTTCTCCCAGCCGTCCTGCCCTCTGCGAGTGTCACCTACCATGCTCACCTCCAGGGACACCCAGACCTGCCTGGTTGGCTCCGCTATACCCAGCGCAGTCCTACCAAGCCTGGCTTCCTCTATGGCACTGCCACCGCAGAAGATCGTGGGCGCCAGATCATTGAGGTGCCGGAGGGACCCTCAGATCTGCCCTTGGTGGTGGTGGTGGTGTTACTGTGTCCCTTGTGGTCATTTGCATAAAGCAGTATACAATTTGCATGTTCCTTATGTGTTGGGGGTGTCCTCTTCCCCCCAGGTCACAGCCTACAATCGGGACACTTTTGACACCACTCAGCAGAAGCTGGTGCTGTTGATCCAGGACCCTGAAGGTACCTTCAGCCTTGCTCCACCCCTCCCCACCAAAGCCTGTCTGGGGGATCTCCCTTGGGAGGAAGAGGGGGAGGCTTTGGGAGTAGTAGGGGAAGCATCTTGGAAAGTGGGAAGTCAGGGAGGACACAAAACTGATAGGAGGCTGAGGGATGTGGACAGTTTGCTGAGGTCGAGTTCAAAGTCAACAGGAACTACATAAGAAGACCCTGTCTCAACAAAGGGGGGCACTGATCCGCTAGGTGTTTTTTGTTTTTGTTTTGTTTTGTTTTTGGTGGAACTGGGGATTAAATCCAGGCCCAAGCAAGCGCTTACTCTACTGAGCCATGTCCCCGACCCCTGGTTAGCTAGCTGTGGTGGCAGACACCTGTAATGTCAGCGCCCGAGAGGCTCACACAGGAGGATCACTGTGAGTTTGAGGCCAGCCTAGGCTACATAGTTAAAAGAAAAGAAAAGGGAAGAGAAGATAGTTTTAGGGGCTGGGCACTGGACTAGGGTCCTAGTCTTGGGTTGTTCTGTAGATGGACTGTGAGCCTCGGTGTCCGGAAGAGCATCTGGGGCCTGTAATGTACTGGCGAAGAGACTTGGGGGTGTGGGAGAAGGCTTGGAGGAGTCTGGGGGCATGGAATCCGGAAGGGGTGCAGCCTGACCTCCCCGGCTTCCCCAGGGCCCCGGCTGCCGTACCAAGCGGAGTTCCTGGTGCGCAGCCACGACGTGGAGGAGGTGCTGCCCTCGGCGCCCTCCAGCCGCTTCCTCACGGCCCTGGGGGGCCTCTGGGAGCCGGGGGAGCTCCGGGTGCTCAACATCACTTCCGCACTGGACCGCGGGGGCCGCGTGCCCCTCCCCATTGAGGGTCGCAAGGAGGGGTATGAGGGCAGCCTGGCGGGCTTCCTGAAGGGGAAGGCAGTTTCCTTCTTGTTTGGGAGGTGGGTGGGCATCAAGCGGGGATCTCCCCAATTTCCAGGCCGGGTTCACCGCGGAGTGTGATCCCCGGTCCCCACCCTTGCTGACCCCGCTTCCGCCTGCGCCCAGGGTGTACATCAAGGTGGGCTCTGCCTCGCCCTTCTCCACCTGCCTGAAGATGGTGGCATCCCCCGACAGCCATGCCCGCTGTGCCCAGGGCCAGCCCCCACTCCTATCCTGCTACGACACCTTGGCGCCCCACTTCCGTGTGGACTGGTGCAACGTTTCCCTGGTGAGCGGAGGAGATGCTGACTCCAGAGCTGGGCGGGGCGGCGTCCCCATCTCATCCGAGCTTCTGATTTTCTGCTGGTGTTGGTGTCACCCCAGCCTTATTGTAGGCTCTCCGTCTTGGGGACACACACACACACACACACACACAGTTTTACCTTCTCCCACAAGGGGGCAGCAGAGCCTACAGTCCAGGCAGCGAGTCTGCAGCCGCGTGTGTCCCACACCAGCCTGGCCCGACCTCTAAAACAGGGTAAACTCCAAAACCCTTACTCCACCCGGAGTCACTCTGTGTGACATCTGTCTGCTTCCCACGAGGTGCCATCTTTCCAACCCACTTGCAATGAGAAGTGGACAGCTTGTGAGTGATAAACGAAATCGTATCACTCCAGGAGCCGGGTGCACTCTACAGCTGAGGAAGCTGAGGCAGGCAGAGACAAATTACCTTAGGCAAGCGTTTGGCTGGGTCAGCAGTCAAGCCCAGGCAGTCAGACCCAAGAGCCGGCACTAAAGCCTTGTGCAGAATGGGCCCCTCTTGGCTCCTCCCCCAGTGCTTGTCCTATTGGGTCACAGGAGCCAGGCATCCTTGCACACAGGGCAGTACCTCAAGGTGGGCTGGCCCCAACCTCTGCCCTGTCCCCGGAGGGTCTGTGTTTGACCCGGGTCAGCCCTGGTCTCCGTGCAGGTGGATAAGTCAGTGCCGGTGCCTGTGGACGAGGTGCCCACCCTGGGCGACGGGATCCTGGAGTATGATCCATTCTTCTGCCCCCCGACTGAGGCCTCGGCCCGAGACTTCCTCCCAGATGCCCTGGTCACCCTCCTGGTGCCTCTGCTGGTGGCTCTGCTGCTTACCCTGCTGCTGGCCTATGTCATGTGCTGTCGGCGAGAGGGACTGTGAGTGGAGGTGGCACAGAACTCTGTGGGCGCAGGGCTGGGTGCTGGAGTATGGGAGGTCACAGCCAGAGGACATCAGGGTTTTTGCTAGGCAGCCAGGGGCTTGGGTAGGACCTGCTGCTGCAGGGGAGGAGATTGTGAAGAAGGCTGGGGGGAGGGGATGCACACACAGGGCACAGAGAGTGCCCCCCAGGTACTTTGAGACAATAACCCTCAGCTTTGCTTTTCCTCAGGCTAAAGAGGGACCTGGCCACCTCCGAGTGAGTAAATGCTGGGAGTGTCCCCCTCCCCACCCCACTCCACCCCCACCCCACCCCACCCCACCCCACCCCCACCCCCAGCCCCACAGCCTGGTCCCAGCTCTGCCCCAGACTGGCTATGTGTGCTAAGCCCCTGACCTCATCTGCTGGTCATAGAAGGGTCTGTGGTGGCACAGAGGGAGTGGACCTATGTAGGTTTGAGAAATTCACACACCTCACACACACGCGTGTACACACACGCGTGTACACACACACACGCACACACACACACACACAAAGCCACACACGCTTCACTCTGCTCCAGACAACTGGGTTCTAGATTGGGCTTTGGATCTCTTTCCAGCCTCAGGTTCTCCAGGTGTAGTGGTGCACGCCTGTGCTCCCCGCACTCACAAAGCTGAGGCAAGAGGATCGCTATGAGTTTGAGGCCAGCCTAGGCTACATAGTTGAATTCAAGGACAGCCTGAACTATTTAGCAGGACCCTTGTCTCAGAAGAAAGACCAGCTGAGGGCTATGGGAGCTCTCAAATTTTGCTCCTCCCAACCCAGATCTCTCGCCTCCTTTGGCTCAAAGTGCTTCCTATGCCATGGCCTTAACCCTCCTCTGCACCTCTAACCCTCTTCCTCTCCCACGTCCCAAGCCCCAAAGATTCCAGGAGGCAAGTGTGCAATAAGTTGGGCTCCTTTTATTCCCACAGCATTGAGGCTGTGGCGAACCTGGCACTCCTGCCAGCTGGCCCTTCCCACCTTAATGGTGGCGCTGGCTGGCCACCCTGCGAACCCCCTTGGGGAGCCGCTTGTGGCCCTGTTTAGAGCCCAGTAGTGATCGGCGCTGTCTTGGTCGGTGCTGTCTAGGCCGGTGCTGCTGCCCAGCCTTGCGCTGCCCAGGCCGACGATGCTGCCCAGGCCTCCGCCGGGACTGCCGTCCTCTCTTGGCCTTGAGCTTGGGTTTGGAGGCCTTCTTGCCCAGGCGGAAGGAGCCAAAGGCCCCCTTGCCAGTCACCTGCCGGAGCATGCCCTGTTCCACCAGCTTCTTAAGTGCACGCTTGAAGCGCCAGGCGTTGCGGATCATGTTGTAGCCAGTGGTGGCTACTGCATTTTTCAGGGTGTTCAGGGACACGAGGTGGCATGTCCCCTTGTCAGCCATGGTTCTCAGGATCACCTTGGATATGCTGGGCTTCGGGGGCTCTTTGGGACAGGGGCTGCCTCCACACTCACTCTTGCTGGCGACACCTGAGGTGCTAGCCTGCTGGCCCACAGCGGCAGCAGTGGAGGCTGCAGGCTCAGGGGGTGGCGGTGGTCGTGGCAGCTCCCGGTTGCTCTGCATTTCTTCCTGGAGGGGGAGGGGAGGGCAGCTGGGCGTGTGGACCTCCAGGGTGGCGGCTGGGTGGCTCCTGGTGGTGGCGAGCTGTGTCCTGCTCCTTCCCCTCAGGGGCTTCCTCGAGGGAGGTTAGGAGGATCCTCCACGGCCGGCCTCAGCAGGCTTGTGCCTGGACTCAGGGCGTGGGCAAGTTATGTCTGTGCTGACCTCACGAGGACATTGTGAGGTCACCAGAATCCTGTGCAGGTCACAGTGGCCCCTTTGATCCTTCCTGGGAGGGGCAGGCGGGAGGGGCCAGGAATGTGCCTTTGTGGGCGCCCAGGCCCAGTCTCAAAGTCTGAGCGCTCAAGTCTTTTACTTCTTTGGTGGTACCAGGCTTGAAGTAGGACCTTCATACTGAGCTCCGTCTCCAGGCCCTTTTCACCGTCTGTCTGAGACTCAGTAAATTATTGTATTGCCCAGACTAGGCTTGAATTTGGGATCCTCCTTCCTCAGCCCCCCACCTGACTCCTTGAGCAAAACTCTAGAAAGCAGTGAAAGGCTTCATTTTTATCTTTTTACTTCCATTTTTATTTCACAGGTCCCCAACTTGCCACAGTAATTCCACAGAGAGGGCTTTATTTCTCGGGTCTGGCAGGCCGGGGCAGGCTCGGCCTGTAGCACTTAGTGTGTGGTGGGTTTTCTCCGTGGCTGGCCTTCTACTCGCTTTCAGCTTTCTGGGCCCATTCTGTGGGTTAGGAAGTCTGCTTCCCACGTCAGTTGGGAATCCATGGCCAGCTTCGCCATGTGCCATATTAGCCTGTGTTGGTTTGGGATTTGTGTTGATTTATTTCAACAAAATTCAAATTCCTCAGTCTGCTCCACGTTTGCCACTTTTCAGGCTATCATTCTACAGCCTGTACTGGTCACGAAGTCCCCTCGGGCCTAGGGCTCACTGTCCCTTGGGTCTGCGCACCCAGGGCAGAGTACACAGGGAGGAGATGGAGTCGCTGCCTAAGGCCAGGGGAGGGGCAAGATGAGCTCTGGGCCGCTTCTCCTCTGTGTCTGATCAGTAACCATGTGGCAAGTGGGGTCACCCCAGACCCTCCCTGTGAGGAAACCAATTCTCACAGTTCTGGTGAGAAGTCCCTGCTCTTCTGGTGATGGGTCAATGTTGTCAGGCTGGGTGGGTCTGTGACAGAGAACCCTGCAAACACCTTCTGTGGAGGCCAAGCTTTAGGGGCTTGTTATAGTAAAATAGCCTCAGTGATGCTGTAGTAACCGGAAGCCTCCCATGATAAGAGCTGCCAAGCGGACCAGGACGCGTCTGAGTATTTTTCCTAGATTAATTCTTTTCATTCACAACTACATCAGAGTGAGGAAACTGAGACACAGAGAGAGTAACATGCCCAGGGTGGCAGGGCAGTAAGCAGCCAGCCCAGGCTGGAGCACTGAGGGAGTGCTCAGTTCAGCCACTGTATACACTTTCTCAGGATGAACTGAAGCAGCCCCTGCACGGGAAGTCATCCAGGAGGACTCGGAGGACTAGTTGAGCTGCCAGAGGACCCGGAGCTGGGGTGCAGGAAGGACTTGCCTCCGGGTGTGGCGCACGGTGCTGCTGGGATTTCCAGCTCATTCAGAGTGGGGCCTCAGAAGCCTGGTGTGAGACAGAGACGGCAGGCAAGATCTGTGCCTGGGCAGGGCGCAAGGCTCAGTTGCACAGGAGTATGGAGGGGCTCATTCTGTGGGCCACGCTGGCCTCGAACTCATCGTGATTCTCCTGCCTCGGCTTCTGGAGTGCTGGGATGATGGGTGTGAACCACTTTGCCCTGCTGGAATTGGTATTGAAGGAGCAAGTACAGCTTAGTGAGACCCTGTCTCCAAATAAAAAATGGCCAGGTGTGGTGGCACCTGCCTGGAATCTCAGCACTTGGGGGTCCGAAACAGGAAGATCATTGGGAGTTTGAGACCAGCCTGGGCTACAAAGTGAGCTCAAGGCCAGCCTAAGCTACATAGGGAGATCCTGTCTCAGAGAGACAAACAAAAAATAAATGAAAAATGGGCTGGGGATGTTGCTCAATGTGAGGTTCTGGGTTCAATCTCCAGTACTGCAAAACAACACACACACACAATTAAACCCAGCAGATGCAGGCCTTTCCAAATATATATCCAGGGTGGAATCTGTCAGTTTCTCAGTGTCTAGTGAGCACTCACCCTGTGTTCCCTGTGCGCATTTGACATGTAATGATCCTAGCAAAGTAGGAGGTAAGGGAAACTGAGGCACAACACGGTTAAGCAAGTGTCCAGGAACATACAACATTGAAAGCAGGCTGCCTGGGCCCGAAGCTTGCGCCTTCAAGGCGAGGCCCGGCAGGCACCCTGGCGCTTCTGGTTTGCTCCCTGCCCCCACTTCCTGTGTGGGAGCTCCACCCCCTCTAGCCAGGCAGGACCTGGGGCTGACTCCTGCCCTGTCCCCCAGCATCCAGATGGTCCACCACAGCACCATCCTCGGGAACACAGAGGAGCTGCGGCAGATGGCGGCCTCCCGCGAGGTGCCCCGGCCTCTCTCCACCCTGCCCATGTTCAATGTGCGCACAGGCGAGCGACTGCCACCCCGCGTGGACAGCGCCCAGGTGCCCCTCATCCTGGACCAGCACTGAGGGCCCGGCCAGGTGGGTGTGGCTGGGCAGTGCAAGCGTCATTTCTGGAAGCAAAGTGGCTTCCATCTCCAGGCAGGGTTTGTGGTGGGGCAGGAGAGGTCAGGGGAAGGGTGCACAGCCCTGCTTGTGCCTGCAGGGGAGCCCTGCCCCCCCACGCTTCCAGTGTGGCCCTGACCTTGTTCCCCTTTTCTCTCCACACAGAGAGCTGCTGACCCTCGACTGTAGCTGATTCCCATTCCTGGCCCTGGTGGACGCCATGCTTAGAAGAAGCGGAGGGATGGCAGTGCTGTTTGGGGTCAGGGCTCCCAGAATAAACGCTCGCTGCTTGCTGTCTGTTGCTGCCAGTGCCTTCTCCTCCACGGTCCTCACTGCCTGCATTGCCCTCTCTGCCTTCTGGGGTCGCCAGGGGCTGGCGGCTCACCCTTCAGACCCTTGGCATTTGCTGTCTTCTCAAATCCCCTGGAAGGAGGAAGACTGCTCCCGGCAGCTCTCACACAAACTGGACCACAGCGATGGATGACCAGGTCAATGTCCCCATTGTACAGACAAATCCCAGGAGATCCTAGGAAACTGAGGCCTAGGAAGAGTAAGCGACAGACCCAACGTCACAGAGCACACTGGTGTCAGAGCTTGAATTAGAACTTGGCCCGTCCGCTCACACCCTGCCTTGGGGAAGTTTTGCAAAGCAGGCAGCCGAGGCCCTTATCTGGAGCTTTAGTTGACACCTGGGGTGCTTGTCAAGCTGCGTGTCACCAGCGTGGCATCCCACAGCCCTGGAGAGCTCAGCCGGCCATGCAGAGGCCTGAGAGTTTTCTCCCTGTGGCTGTAGCCAAAACGGGCCATTCTGCCTGCCCACCGCCATCTTCAAGGCCTCCAGTGCTATGTGTGACAGCTTCCTCCCAAGGAAGCCTGCGGTGGGCCCGGGTGAGGGGGGACAGCAAGGGAGCAGGGACCCGTGCCAGCCTTTCCTTAGGTGGCAGCCGCAAAAGAACTGAAAAACGGCCCGGCCCCGCACGTGCCCCTTCCCTTGCCAGCGGCTGCTGGGGGTCCCCCAGGGCACGCAGCTCTCACCCCAGGCGCCTTCCCAGCACTCCCAGTGTGAAGAAGAGAAGCTGCCGGGGCTCACAGTCCCTGTCCTCATCCCATGTGGAATATGGGGTTTCCCCGTGCCCTTGAGGGTCTGGGGAAACCGCAGGAAGAGACTGAACCCTGAGTTGCTGCGGAAGATGCCATCTGTCTGGGTTTGTGGGGCCAGTGAGATAGCTCAGCTTAGGCAAGCTTAGGCAGGCGCAGGGGACCGCAGTTCTAGCCCCATGACCAGCATGTGGTTAAAAGTTCCTCAGGTCCAGCTGAGCTGGCCAAAAAA